GGCTGAGTTCAAGGGCAGGCCTGATATCCACTGCAGTGGGACTTGTGCTGTATCATTCTTTGTGAGTGTCATTTGGAATTAGAAGGATCAGGTCTTTGACTTTGAACCGATTAACTTTTTCCTGCCGTTCAAACCAGTTTATCGAAGTTAGCAGAAAAACTCGTGGCTAACAACTCGTACGATAATTTGAAGACTTTCAAAGTGAATTGGCGACGTCGTCGATCGTCAGATATCTACGGCTCGTCAACTTATTCGATGTGACAGAAAGAAAACGGAAGAAGAAATTGTGCTTCCTCACTAACAGCCGGACTTCCTTCAACCCAAAAAACAAATTTCCCGAACTCATTCTTGGGTCCACCATTGGGTAAAAAGCCCATGATGAGGTAAAGTCGAAGGTGAGGGCATAGGATAGTTTGGACATCCTCACAGAATGGGTCCCTGCTCCATGATCGTAAAGTGCTGGAGAAGCTATAGAGGTCCCTTCACGATAAGCGATATGGCTATTTCTTCCTATGGCTTCTCTGGGCCCGATAATTCTGCCACCCATGGGGGTCTTGTAAAACTCTACCCTCATATGGCCGGCTGGCAGAAGGCCAACTAACTTTGATTACTGCGAACAATCGAAATTTGAGGGCTATTTCCCGTGGGTACCTTGTAAATATCAGTATGGGTAGCTATGAGTACTTTATGGGTAAATTACCAACCGTATAGTATAATCCTTATCCGAAGGGTATATGAATCAGCACAGTAACGAAATGATCCTCCCGTCCCAGCTTTCCAGAAAAAGTACGACCGTAGTAACGATCCTACATAACTCTACTACTACGTCTATCTGTCAATTTCCTACGGAAGATTTCCCATGCTCCTGGTTGGTTGAGGTGCTTCCAGATGGCTTCGTTCCGAGTTTGAAGTGGAGTTTTTCCCCATTACATTCACCTGGGTAAATTTCGGACAAGTACTTACTTGATATTGATTTTCTGTGTAAGTGTTGATTCCAATTGTCGATAAATGCAATTCAACCGATATGCTCGATCACCGGCTGTAATGAATAGTGGATGATGTTGTATGACCACGGTGACCTCGTAAGAGATGGTCATCGGATGTGGCTGAAAATTAATGATACCACTGATGAACTGAATCTTCTCAGCTTTTTCTACTTTGGAAAAGTTTAAGAAAAGCGAATGGAATCACTCAAGAAAAGAAATTACGTCGTATTGACCTGAACGTTACCCAATCATTTGGGTATACTCTAAAAACGTTGCAGATTCGGGTGATTGATGAACCGGGACGTACCGTTCTCCGACTAGATAGATAGTCGTGATCATCGGGGTACTGTGTCATTGAACTTGATAAAGGGACCATTTCGTGTTCCATTTCGACGGAAAAAAATTGTGACAAACGAAATCGTTTGGTGATAAATGGAAAACGCCACGATCTAGATCTTATCACATCGATCATTCCACAACCCCCATATCCAAAACTAACGGGAAACTATCAAAAGGGATCTTAAGTTTCCGGTAGAATTCGACTCGATACATGTATATATATTGTTATGGTAATATGGTGAGGGATGCGCCCCGCATTCGACTTCAATTCAGAATCATCTGTTGAGTTTGATATGCGTACATGGACTATATAATGGCTTGCGGTGGTCAGCCGATGTGCAAGTCAGTGTTTTTATCCTTCCAGATGACTCTGGTACGAGCTCACCAACCTCAAAGGCATGGAAGGCTTGGTTGGCCTATCACTTCCGCCCTAACGATAGCATAGGTTTGATTAAGTGAATATGCGCTTAGGTCATAGCATGCATAAAGTAGGCTTGTCGGAAAATCCTCGCCATGAAGGTGTAGATCCTACGGAACTCCTTGGAATGTCATTAATCACGCTTGTGTTACATAGTTCAACTCTTAACTAGTAGCAGCTCGGACCCAACGAGTTTCAAACTAAGATTGGAATTCCTACAACAGGCTACCAACGTCAATTCCCAAAGTCCGGTCTACCACGCGCTTTTGAGAGCATATGTGAGTCCACGTATGAGTCTTATCCCTATGAAGGCTCACACGTGTGGGATATAAAGCAAGGCATTACCCGTTATTTTGATGAGCTCGTTCGTTTCACTCAATTGATTTTCGTAACCATTATTAAATACTCATATAATAACAAAAGCTTTGATTTTAAGGAAAACGAACATTAAGATTACTGGGACAAATTGATTTGTGCTTTTCTTGATTAACGAGCATCCTTCCCTTTTTCTTCTGAGTGAGGTTGAACACAGAAGAAAGTAATTCTTGTCCTATTAATATCACATGGAACCTCCTCAACGGGGGTTCTTCGGGCAAACTCTTAGATTTCTTCTCGATCATCTCCCTAACCAGTTACGTGACATTCCACATCCTTTTCTCGGCTTCTTTCTCCACTGCCTATTCATTGCCGGCTAATTTCGGTTAAAGGAGCCGGCTGTATTCATGAAATGCTTAGATACCCACTAATTTTGCGGTTTATTACAAACCGAGTAGCTAAAATTAGTTGGAAAGTACGTCTTATTACGTGTAATCTACTGTCAATTACTTTTTTATTTGCTGTTCTTGGAATATTCTTGGAATGTTCATTTTGGAGACCACTTACCGAACGGTGACGTCGGACGTTACAATCCCCTCGATATGGCACTTCCATAACAAATGGGTGATGTATGGACTGTCTACAGTAGTCAAGATGGCATTTGCTGGAAATGGAAGTGCATTATTTATTCACTTAATTGTTTGTTTACTTATTTACTTGTTTCTTCAACCGATTATATATTGCACTCTTAGATGCATAGTACTATGCAAGAGGGAATGGAGAAAGTAAAAACCTTTTGAAAACAATATTTACGGGAGTAGAAAATAAATAATGTTAGGGGAGCACCATACCCATTCAGGCTAGTGCTGATAGAAAAAAGGAATAGAAACACAAAAAAATCGTGGACATGCGTTTTTAGCACTTTAGAGGGGTCTGTGGT